AAACCGCCGTGTTCTGTCTAGTGAAAACTGGAACTCCAGTGTTATTGAGTCATTATCCTGTTCTTTATTGCCTGATCACTTGTGATCAGATGAGGGTTTGTTTCCCTGACGCCGTTATGGCGAGGATGGAGAAGTGTGGGATGACAGTGTGGTTAAGTGGATTTGTAACTGATGCTGTGGCCAGGCCCAGGGTGGGCTGCTTAATGGATCCATGTCTGCCTGGGGGGAGTGCTACAGTGGTTGGCCACAGGCTCTGTCCTCAGTCCCATCCTGGTTAACTTTTTTTGTTTTTTTTTAATAATTAAGACATGAAGTCCCACAGACCATATTTTGCAGATGATCTATGTATGGGAGAAGTAGCTAATGCCGAGGATGACAGAATTGAGATGCAAAGATGATATAAATGCTGGGTGGGGGTTTGTGTGCAATGAGCTGAGATTTAAAATGGGTAGAAAGTTTATTAAGCTAATAATTTACATTTAAAAATATTGTGGAGTTCTAGCCTGTTTGGGTCAGTGGATAGAGTGTCAGCCTGTGGACTGATGAGTCCCGGATTTGATTCTGGTCAAGGGCATGTACCTGGGTTGCAAGCTCGATCCCAGCCCCGGTCAGGCCGCGTGTGGGAGGCAACCAGTCAATGTGTGTCTCTCACATCGATGTTTCTCTGTCTTTCCCCTTCCCTTCTACTCTAAAAATCAATGGAAATATATCCTCAGGTGAGGATTAACAAAATAAAATAAATATTGTGGAAGTAAGACATGTGGACATTTTTCTTTAACTGCAATTTGTGTTTTAAAAGACTCTGAAGGGCCCTAGCCAGTTTGGGTGAGTGGATAGAGCGTCGGTCTGTGGATTGAAGGGTCCCAGGTTTGATTGCGGTCAAGGGCACATGCCCAGGTTGTGGGCTTGATCCCCAAGGTGGGGGCGTGTGCAGGAGGCAGCCGATCAACGATTCTCTCTCATCATTGATGTTTCTATCTTATTTCTCCCTCTACCTTCCTCTCTGAAATCAGTAAAAATATATTTAAAAAATAAAAGACTGAAGAATGATAAACACCAAGTTGCGATTACCATTGGAGGGAAGAGGATGTAGACACTGAGAGATGTATAGGAGTTTTAAACTTATTAGTAATATTTTATTTAAGTGGGGCTGGTGAGTCCATGAGTGTTTGTAATATTCTTTATACCTTTTTGTTTGCCTTCAATATTTAATAAAACAGACTCCAGAAGATTTGGTGGACCGTTAGTTCTGTATCGAGGATGATAGCTACAAATGAAGAAGGAAATCTGATAAAATCCTTTTGTTCATGGCACTTGACAGTCGATATGTGGGGTATTGTTGAGCCCTGAGTACCACATTTGAAGAGGGACACTGTAAGTAGATGCAGAAATATTCAGAAATAATGGGTATGAGAACTAGTGGTATGATAATTAGTTGGAGGAAACGGGTAGTATTTAGACCAAAGAAGAAACGACTAAGGGGAAATGCGTTGGGTGTCTTCAGCCATTTGAAGAACTGTCACGTGGAAGAGGGAATAGATTTATTTTCTCAAAAGGGCAAAAATCAGGGCCATAGGTGGAATCCGTTTTCTTTGTTTTCTTTTTGGTTAATCCTCAGCCGAGGATATTTTTTCTATTGATTTTTAGAGAGAGTGGAAGAGAGGCGAAGAGACAGAGAACATTGATGTGAGAGACACACATGGATTGGTTGCCTCCCACATGCACCCCAATTTGGGCCTGGAATCGAGCCTGCAACTGAAGTACGTGCCCTTGACTGGAATCGAATCCGCAACCCTCCTTGGGCCAATGCTCTAACCACTGAGCAAACCAGCTAGGGTGGTGGAATCTGTTTTCTAACCATGGAAGGAAGTACTTTTTAATAGAGTTGTCTTGCAGTGAATCAGACTGATTGGGGAGGTCAGCTCTTCACCAAAAGCCTTCTGCTGGCCAGGGATGCTGTGAGGAGCCTTCCTGTGATGGGGAGGTGTGCCTAGTTGATCTCTAAGACTCCTGGTACTTTTTCAGTTTCTAAACCATTGAAGACTTGAGCCAGTGTGACACCTTCAGCATTACAGTGTGACACCTTGGTTCAGAAGAATGACAGAAGCCTTGCACTTCTTTATGCTACCTGGTCTAACATCTGATACTGTGAATTGCATGCAAAATGGCCATGCCGTGACTTAGGTGATGTGACCATCACACCTAGAACTTGCATGCTCTCATGTACTGCAAAAACCTAATTAAGTAAGCCAGAACTTTAATGTACCATCAGAGTGCTCTGTTGGTCAATATTGCTTTGACATACCTTTTGTTGCATAAGGTATTGTAATAATGATTCTTTTTAATGTAGTTTGCTCGTGATGGAAAATCAGAAATTTTGAGGCAAACAAGCTGAGTTCTTGGATTCTGATTAATTTTCACTTTGTAAGTTTTAGCTTCTGCTGCCATGGAGCAAGTAGAGACCCACTATAGATCTAATGAAAGTTCTTTAATAAAAATATAAGGAAGCTAATGGCTTCCTTATTTAAAATAACATTTGGAGCAGCATAGTTTCATAATAAGGTATTTGTGTGTGTCCTGTAGTGCTGTGTCACGATCTGTACTAGTGTACGGCATATGTAGAAAGAATTACATTTATAGAGTACTTTTCTGTGAGCTCTTTTATTGAGATGCACAACGGTTCTCTTGGTAATGGCGTATGATTATTCACATTTTAAAGATGAAGAAATAAAGGTCCCTGGTCATAGTATTTAGTGTTGTAAAGGGCATTTTAGGGCCTCACACCCCCACCCCCACCCACCCCCCTGCCGTTTCACAGTGGAGGAAAGAGGTGCAGGGAAGACTAATGTGACTTTCTCATTGCAGCAGAGCTAGTTAGTGAAAGACCTGGCACTAGAATCTGGGTTTCCCCTCACAATTGTAACTAGTTTCCTATTACATCATGCTGCTTCTTGAATAATGGAGGCAGGCATCAAGACATGTTTCTGAAAATGTTATCAAACATATATACATATACTAGTATATCCCTATCACTTTATGTCTCCTTGGGGAAGTTATTATGTAAAGGAACTTTGCCATGCTATGAATTTTTTTGGTGCAGTGCAGATTCATTTTGAATGTAAAGAACTCCCTTACTGGTTTTTAAATTTTTATAGTTTTAAAGAAAAATTTATGAGAATTTCATGTGGCTTATGTCTTTTATTCTAGTAGTATGATATATTACATTGATTTTTATATGTTAAACCAACCTTGCATGCTGGGGGAGATTGCATTTAGTCATGGCATATAATCCTTTTCCTATATTGCTGGATTCAGTTTGCTAGTATTTTTTGAAGATTTTTGTGTATATTCATAAGGAATATTGGTTTGTAGATTTCTTGTGATGTGTTTGTGTGGTTTTGGTATCAGGGTAATACTGGCCTCCTAAAATAAGTTGGAAACTGTTCCTTCTTCTGTTTTTTTGGAAGAATTTGTAAATGATTGGTGTTAATTCTGCCTTAGGCAGCTGCAGTGTTCAACAGTTGTCCCTTATTGTTTTTGACAAATGCCCTGGAGATAGGATAGAGTGCTCTGAGTCAGGTCAGAAAAAGTCAGTCCTTCAGAATAGAGCTTTAAGCCAGCTGCCAGCCAGGTCAAATGGTGACAGTTCTCTGGGGGCGGCACCTTTGAGGAGCTGTAAATCCATCTGGCCCTTCCAGTGGCTGCAAGGCTGCTGGTTTTTACAGCGACGGTAGTTGCAAGGCTGTTAGTTTTCACGGCTACCATGGAGCTGAAGGAGGAGGATGGGATTAGCGTAAAGTAAAACAAAACAGAAGTTACGCTTCTTACCAAGATTCAGCCACTTTTCTGAATAAATGCGCCTCAAAATGTTGCAAGCCTTCAGTTAATTTCTAGAGTAATGAAAAACTTGATTTTGACACTTTTTGGCAGCATTCTTCTTGCTTTTACGGAGGAGCAGATTTTTGGAGATCTTTATTCTGCAATTCCAAAAGTTAACTCCCTACCAGTTCTTCATTAAGGGAGGCCTCCTTGTGCAGTGCGGTGTGCCATGCATGGGCTGCATTCTGTCTTGTGTACTTTCTTGTCTGTGTATTTGATGTCTTGAAGTGGCCCCAAGGGAGTGTTAAGGAGCACAGGTTACTGTAAACCACTGGTCACAACTCTTACTTGACTAGAAGTGAGTCAGATGGGCTGTGAGCAGAATGTCTAGCAGACCCAAGATCACGTTATCCACTGGATCCGTTTCTCGTCTTGCCAGCGGAGTTCATCTTTTGCAGTCTGCCCCACTTTGTACATTATCCGGTGGTGAAATAAATTCATCGTTCCCCTCAGTTGGGGTTGGAAGACAAAGAACTAATAGCTAAAACGGCCATTTCCTCTGGATACTGTTGGGATTTGAAATTCAGTCCAGACATAACATTAATTTCTCTATATCAGATCTTACAGTCCTGGTTAACAGCTTGAGTTTTCTGTTAAATATTTCTTAAGGTACACATTTAAAATCTAAGTTTTCACACATAACATAAATTTGAAATTCTCAGAGGAGCAGAAGTTTTAAGTTATGGATATTTATTTTATTACTGCTTACATTTCAGAGGCCATCGGTCTCTAGCTCTATAAGGCGGAAATACAAGTGCCTATTGGTAAATAAAGCGTTTCTGTTCTGAAAAACTGTGTGTGATTGTACATCTATTAACATGCTACAGCGTGTAGTTTTTGCCTTTTATGTATTTGTGTATTTTTCCTCTTATATAATACTTTAACCAAGTAGTCTAAAATGTGATATTAGATGACAATACAATTTTGAAATCTTGAAAGATAAAACTGGAAACATTTGCTTGTTGTTGTGTTTTTTTTTCCCACCTCGGAGTGTTTTGTTAATGAGACATTTTATACTGCCATAAACCCAGGGCAATAATAAAGGTGTTGATTGATTTTTGGATGACAAGGGGCTTCTCTAATTGCAGGGTTTGACATTTGTGTCACTTCTGCTGCTTTAGGTGAGCAAGACGTGGAAGGTGATTGCAGAAGATGAAGTGCTCTGGTACCGGCTGTGCCAGCAGGAAGGGCACCTTCCCGAGAGCAGCATCTCCGATTATTCTTGCTGGAAGCTCATCTTCCAGGAGTGCCGAGCCAAGGAGCACATGTTAAGAAGCAACTGGAAGGTAGGCAGTGGCCAATATTACCTGTAGAAGAATAGCTCCCTTACAAGGACTCGGGAATCCAAGCCGGGATTAATCACCGAGTCCTTCTAATTACAGCCTGAGGTTAACTGCCAAAAGCATAAGAGAGGATGATGGTGAACGCATCGTCTGCTGTTGGTGACTTGTTGCCCATTTTGTTCGCCACTAGAGTCTCTACCCCTGTTTCCAGCCACACTATTTGGGAGCATCCTGTTGTTTCCAGGATAGGAAGGGTGAGAGAGAGGCCAGGCACCTCCCTCGATGGGTAGGTCTTGGGTGTAGTGCTCAGTGCAGCCCCCTTCACTTTCACCATCTCTCTGGAAGGACCAAGAAAGCAAAGGCAGCACCTGAATACAAAAGAGGAGCTATTTTCAGGAAATGTCAGAGGGAGATTATTAAACGTCTCTAAGCACTGTCTTCTCTTCCCTCACATAACCTACTGGCTTACTTCCATCACATTTATCACTTCAAAATCTCTACAGAAATATTAGATCACAGCTAAGAATGTTCAGAGTGAAAGCGTTTCTGAAGGAATAACTATCAAGAGTAGTGTTGCCTAAAGCTGCTTGAGGCACGACCAGACAGCAGTGTGGTGGTTGTCTCTTCACACCTGGCTAGCTGGGTAGTCAGTTGTGTCGGGGGCACAGAACCATGCCCCTTCCTCTCCCTTAAAGGTCAACCCTAATGGACTCTGAGATTAACAAGCCTTTGCTCATTACTGATGGTGACATATTGCCTGTGTGCAATCAGGTTATGCCAGTCACCTCATAACCTGATCAGTGACCGATGCTCTTGATCTGGGCAGCCTCATACAGTTTCTAGCCAAGTTAATAAGAGCAGTGGTCTCGAAGTCAGGGTTTCTCCACCCAGCACTGGTGACACTGGGCTGGATAGTTCTTGTGGTGAGGGCTGTCCTGTCACTGTAGGATGTTGACCAGCACCTGTAGTCTCTACCTGGTAGATGCCAGTAGCATTTCTCTTTCTCTCCCAGCTGTGACAACCAAAAATGTCTTCGAATATCTTCAAATGTCCCCAGGAGGCAAAATTGCTCCTGGTTGAGAACCACCTTTCTAAGGGGAGTTAGCATAGCTATCCTTTCTTAGGCCATGAAGACAACCACTGCTAAATAAAAACCATACTGGCCCACGGTTTGCATCCTCACCAGATAATAAACTCATGTGGAGGGACCCGTAGTCCTCTTGCCTGTGTGCTTGAGTAAGGTCTGTGAGGGACATACGCGAGAGACAAAGCTGCTTAGACAGGCATGGGGGTTTGTGGGGACGGGCAGAAAGTAGAGGGTCTACCACTGGTAGGAGGCGCTGTAATTGAATGAAAGCTTGAGAGTTGGGCATTAACTAGGGCCTTTCTGTCTGAGAAGAAGGGATACTTTTGAGATTTGTGAGTGTGAGAGCTGCAGATATTCAGTGTGCCTGGCTCCCATTCAGAGGTGTCAGCCCCTGAGAGAGAAGGTAGCAGCTACGTTCTTTGTTTCCTCTTTGTATTAGAAAAAGCAAGAGGGGAGACAGGTACAGCTTCCCATTCAGGCCAGAGGTGGCAGAAGTGAAGATCTAAAGACCCACCTCATAGCATCTGGCACTCAGTAACAGTGTACAAGTTCCTTGCAGCTTAACTGAGCGTCTACCTGTTGTTTTTCTCTTACGAGCACAAAGCCCTCTGTTTGGTAAGTGCTCAATGAATGGTTGTCGTTTGAACTGGAGTCTTAACTGCAGGCAGCATGTGAGGGAGGCTTCTCTTTGGAGTGTCTTGGACCCATTTTTCTGACAAAATTACCTATGAGGACTACACAAGTGAAATGTCAAATGATAAATATTAGCTGTAGTGATGGGATTCTCATTGTGATTCTAGAATGAAAGAAAGCCCTATCAAAACATGAAAGGCAGTGTTAGAGCAAGTTGCTTTATCTTTGTGTGCCTTTGTTTTCTTATCTCTAAGTGAGGCTCAGAGTAGCCCTGCTCAAAGGGGGTGTGGGAGGAGGACTGTCTAATGATGTATCTAACGCTCCTGCAGAGCGTGGCTCACGTCCAGTGCTCAGTGAGCATTGGCTGGAGAAGCTCACAGGCCTTTGCATGAAGAGCCTGTGGTTTGGTGCTATTCGTGGTTGACTTCAGGATGGGTTGAGCAGGTGATTTGGTTTGGTATCTCCTAGGTCAGTGCCTGGGGAACCTGAGAACGGATCCCAAGGTTCTCAGATATTTCTACATAGTAACTGCATGAACTTACTTGGACGTGCAATTCAGAGCTATAGTGGAAATGATTTGATAAGCTGGTTATGGTGGCTATAGTATTCCTTTTCCTGGTTTTTGCAGTAACTCTTCTTACTCTGGCCTCTAGGATTTCTCTAAGACCAGAGTACCAGTGTGAGGTTGCAGCCCATGGGGTGGGGGCGCAGGGAGCCACATGGCAGACAGTAAATGCCATAAGCACGCAGGTTTTGATCTCAGGCCCTCTCCTTTTCTTTCACTACCTCGTCCCTCAAAAGAGCTTTGCTATTCTTGTGATTTTGTTCATGGCCCTCGCACAGAAGAGACTCAAGTCCTTCCCTTCCATCCCCATGTGTCCACTAGCAGGACAGCTCTACTTGAATGTGCCAGTTTTGTTGCTCAGCCTTGGACTTGGTCTTCAAGGGAGATCATCATGCAGATTATCTTACACAGTGCCTGGAATATAGCCACTTGAATGTTTTTAATGAAATGAATGTCATCAGCTGTCTCCTAATAATATGAGTAGTAATAAGAGTAGCTACCATTTATTGAACACTTGCTGTATGCTAACAACTGTGCTTAGCACTTACACGGCACTTATACACACTCTTTCTATCCTTGGTCCAGTCCAGCAAAGCTGAAGTTATGGTTACTTGAATGTTCTTGAATACCTTTATTCATGCTTACTTTTGGCTTAACTATTCTACTCTTCCCAACATCTCACATGTAAATACTTTATATTCCTTTAGATTCTCTTTATTTTTATTTTTAAAATAATTATATTATGTCTATATTTGGATTGATAATGATTGCCAGGGTACAAATAATTCAAGTTAGAAAGGGACATACAGTGAAAGATACATCTTTTTCTCGCCTCTCTTCACCGACTACCTGGTTCCTTCCTTAGGAGCAGCCAGTGTTATGGGTCTTAAGGTTTCCTTTAAATATTGTTCCCATGAACCTCTGACCTCTCAATCAGGAACAATGTCTTTCTTCCTTTTCCCCATCCTGATTTTTTTTCTTTGTGTATACTTTTTCATTTTATTCAGCAGGTTGTTTATAAGTGTTGTTAACAGGTAAAATAATCCTTCAATACTTTCTCTCCTCTGAACGGAACTTTTTAATATACTTTATACAATTTCTTAAGACTTGCCACATTCAGCCTTCTGTGGATTATAGTTATTTGTGCTCACATATTTCCTTCATATCCCCTTGAGGATGACGGGGCAACATCCCACACCCCCTCTAGTTCATTGTGTGTGTGTGTGTGTGTGTGTGTGTGTGTGTGTGTGTATGAACTTGTAAATGCTAACAGCTGTCATCTTGGTCCTTTTGAATGTCCAGATAACTTTGAACACAGTACATGCTGTAAAAAGTCACTGGGGAGCGTAGGTGAAAGCGGCATGCTTTGTCTCTGCTATCCACAGAATAACGTACCCTGCACCCCCTTTTCCTTATGCAGAATCGCAAGGGAGCCGTGAGTGAGCTGGAACACATTCCTGATGCTGTTTTATGTGATGTGCACTCTCACGACGGTGTTGTCATTGCTGGGTAAGCTAGGACAGTTTTTCACTTAACACTCTGTATCCTAAGGTCTTTTAGTTTTTCGTGTACCCCTTCTAAGTCCCAGTGACATTGTCCTCCCTGGGGAGCACGTGCGTTCATATAGATGGCCCATGTTGGGAGGACTCCATTCTCCGGGATTGGAGAACTCTGAAGTTAGTGGTGAGAAGCGAATGGTGCAGAGCAGATCCGTCTCAGTTTGTCTTTCCTAGCTTTAAAACCACTCTTGTGGCAGGTTATGTTAGATTTTCATTAAGGCCAACAGTTTGTATTTTATGAAGACATAAAAAAGTCAAGCAAGAATAATACGTGTTGGCACAAAGAGGTCCTGCTCTTGTGCTCTTGTTCTGAAGCTTTTATTACTGAGGAAGGGCTGTGGCCACACACAGTCTCCCTTCCCCACCACACAGTGCCTATTTGCTTTTTATTTGTCTCTGTGGCCAAGAAATTTAATTTTAGCTTCTGTAGATTCCTTTGGCTTCTGTTCTAAAAACCACTTTCATGAATTCTTCATATTTTACTACAGAGATGTGTTTATGTATTTCGTTAATGTATAATAAGGTCAATTTTCTTTTTCGGATGAAGATATTTTGAACTAGATTCTCACACTGTATACTTAGTGCTATAGAAACCAGGACATTTAAACTTCTCAGTCTGGATTGGCTTAGGCGTGAGCCACCCAAGAGAGGCGCCTACCTGCCAGAAAACAAAAACAAACCTTGGCCTTGACAACTTAGTAGTAGTCAAGTTTTTCTTTTAAGAAAAATCTCTCCTTAAGAAGCTTTCCTTAAAGAGCACCACTTGAATTGAAATTGCAGTCAGATTATTTTAATATTTTGTGGCATGCAATGCCTATGAAAAAGTCTTTTTGCTTTAAACGAGATATGCCTATGAGGAACCCTTATTTTCTTTTTTAGTTTCGTTTCATTTTATTTTAATTTTTTTGTAAGTGCAACTAAAAATTTTTTTCCCCATTACAGTTTACATTCTAGTAGCACTATAGAATTACTAGAGGCCCGGAGCACGAAATTCGTGCACAGGTATGGTCCCTAGGCCTGGCCTGTGATCAGGGCCATCTTCCCTGGCTGTCCACAGTGGGCCCCCTCTCCCCAGTTCCCCGTTCGCCATCGGGTGATCGGAGCCTGCCGGCCAGGAAAAGGGACCAAGAGGTGGTCAGTGCGCCTCATAGTGACTGGTCGAGTGGTTGTTCTGGTCGTTCCGCCATTAGGGTCAATTTGCGTATTACCCTTTTATTATATAGGATTATTTTAGAAAGCTTAACGGACCAGGAATCTAGACTGCATCCATCCAGTGCGGCTTGGGCTTCTGCCCCCACTGCTCAAGTGTGGGCCCAACAGCTCCTGATACAGAAGGTCCTTTCCTCCCACCAATTCTAGGTTCCATGTTAACTGTGAAAGGGACTGTCATTCTAGCTTGAAGGGGTCTCCTAATGTCAGAGACCTTTGAGGACAGAATGTGGAGATTGGACTGAGAGAGTCATAAAAGAAATTAGAAATAAAGGAGACTTTAATCTCAAAAGCCAATTGTGACTTTCTTATCTGGACATGGAGCTCACAAAGGCCGGCCGGTGCCAGTCCTTTTTCCCTGCCTCTGTGTTCCCTGGAGGCCCGCTCAACATTGCAGATTCTACAGCACAAAGCAAAGCGATGGCAGTTTGTGGATCGATAAGATGAAACTTGATCTGTGGGTCAGAGAGGCTCCTCACAGCGCCTCTTTCTAAGAGAACCTTACGTTTATGGCCTCACATCAGATACTTCATATCTTGCTTGTGTGTAGAGCATCTTGTGTTTATCATTAAAATTTTATCTGGTGGTTACGATGCTTGTTTTCTGGGTCAGGTCTTGAATCCCTTTTCATTTGAGACAGCGGTGTTTGTGGTTACCTCATTCCCAATCAATGTTGTATTCACCAGGCTTTCTACAGTTATGTATCTCCAAGGAGCTTCTTAAAGAGGCAGTGTCCACCTCATCATTTCTTTCTCTTCTGCTTATCTTGCTTATATTTTCCCCCTTCCTTTCCCTCTCTTTTTACACAAGTAAAATTTAGTTTGTATAGCTAGAGCTGAACTATGTAACATTTTTGCATGTAAGCCTACTAAATATATTTCATACAATTGATAGAGAGCAGAGACTCTTGGAAAGTCTCTTGCTTCTTTCCATCTTTTCAATCCTGTGTGTCAGTGTTCGTGGTGGGCAGTCACATTGTTCAGGCCTACACTAATTTTTATTATGTTAAACTCAGAGTTACCCAATCTTGGTGGTTCTTTATTCTCCTTTTCACACAGACCCAGGGTAGCCTTCCGATGCTCATTCACTCATAAGCTCACCTGAGACACTCGGGTACCTATCAGGCAAACAGGACCTGGGCCCTGCTTACTCGAGGCTTGTTTTTCCAGCAGAGGAAACACATCATTCTCAAAGCTTGGATCTTTCACATGTTGGTCCATCAGTCTTTGCTGCCCTTACTCTCTCATGGATGATCATTTCTGTTACCTTTTCCTAATGTTACAGAATTTACCAGGCGACCGAAAAACATGCAGGAGTACCTGGAGATACAGGAAAAACCCATTTATTTTCAGATGTTTCACACATACTAGTACAGTGACTCAGGGGGTCAGTTCTCCAAATCCTGAGTAAGCCAATATGGAGGAAGCTTTCTCTTCATACCCTTTGGTTTCTTTGTCCCCCAAATAAGGATCAGACTTCCGGACCTTTCGTGGGCTTTGCAAAAAGCCCCGTGTGTTGGGATGGTGGCCGTGAGACCACACCTAAAGGCCTGGCCTGGCGCCAGCACTGATAACCTTTGGGGTTATGTATTGTTCATGGTTTATGGCCTCTGTAAATGGGAGTATTTAGGTAAACAGGTCCTGCAAGACCAGATAATTAAGGAAGGGGCAGTGACTAGACTATAGGCGAACAGGAATGTGCATTAGGGATACAGAGTCAGGCTGCTAGCCCCCCACCCCCACCCCAAATGTCTCATTTTCCTCATCACTAATGTTCTAAGTCCTTTGAAATTTGTTTCCAACCCACCTTTCTCCTCATTACTCTCCTTAGTGTACCTTTGGATTTTTCTACACTGTTCTAATTAGTTACCTCTGACCACATCTTTTTAAAAATGGAAATGTAATTTACATACCATAAAATTCAACCTTTAAAATGGTACGTCAGTGATTTTGGTTTATTTACAAGGTTGTGCAACCATCCACCATTACCTATGATGAACATTTTCATCGCCCCCAAAAGAAACCCAGTCCCCATTCTTTAAAGCCCAATTCGAGTCTTGTCCCCGCCATAGATGCCCATAGCACTCTAGCCGGTGAACCCCCTAACTCCCACACCATCTCCCCTTCCCATCTCCCAGGGAGATGATGAGCTGCAGCTGATCGGGCATCTAACCCTGTGGCCTCACGGTTTCCTCAAAACACTTTTGCTTTATATTGTTATTTTAACTTTATAGCCATGTATTTTCTTTCCGGTTTATAAGCATCTTTTAAAACTGGCGGTGGCATGTAATATTTCATTAATGTCCATACAGTACTTACACATCATTTTGTCTGAAGTTAGCATTAAAATTTAATATACAGGCTGTTTCTCCCCCCACCTATATTCTACATTATGTAAGAAAACTGGAGAAAATCCTAATTTCTCTTGTCTGTTCTCAGATTCCTTAGTTTTTGCAACTTAGAATCATATGATTTTATTTATTATTTATTTAGTTATTCATTTTAAATATACTTTTATTGATTTCAGAAAGGAAGAGAGAGAAACATCAGTGATGAGAGAGAATCATTGATTGGCTGCCTCCAGCACGCCCCACACTGGGGATCGAGCCTGAAACCCGGGCATGTGTCCTCAACTGGAATCGAACCCGGGACCCTTCAGTCCGCAGGCTGACGCTCTCTCCACTGAGCCAAACTGGCTAGGGTGAATCATATGATTTTAAACCTGGAAGGCATGTTAGAGATTGTCTATTCCCAAACACTCATTTTGTGTGAGATAACTGGTCCAGAGAGGTCCAATGAGCCAGGATTGGCACGCGTGCCCTGGACCACTGTGCTGTCCCTCTGCAGTGTCCACACATAGAGCCTGCATCGGGGCTGCCTTCGCCAGCCCTCCTTTGTCATTCTGACTGCTTGTCTGTTATGGTATCATTTTTGTTTTTCTTTTGTGGCACACATCTTTCTTTTCTGTTAAAAATAAAAGCAGCAATAAAGCCATGCTGTTTTTGTAAAACTGTTAGAGAGTGGAGAAGAAAGCCATCTAAATCTTTGCATGCTAACACAACTCTGGTTATGGTTTTTGATGTGTGTAGTTTATTTTTCAGTAGGTTTTTAAAATACATATTTTTACATAATATAATCATAGCCTACATTACACTTTGGCCTTCCCCCCTCACTAAACTGATGTTTTTTTCATGTTATTGCATACATTTCATTACATTCTTTATTTGTTGCAGAAGCTCCTAGGATATAATTATATCCTAATTTTCTTACTCATTTACCTAGTACTAGACATTAAATTCATTTCATGTGTTTTGTTATTATACAGTGTGAATATTTTCTGTATAGAGGTTTTCAGATTTTTCCCTTTTTAGTACTGTAAATCTTATTTAAAAACTATAAAACACATACTTATTATAGAAACTTTGAATTCCATAAAAGTGGGTAGACTAAAGAGTTAAAGTTCTTCCATTACCCTCCCCTAGTCTAATTGTTTTCCTAGGCTAGAGTCCCATAAGTGGAGTCGATAGATTTAGAAGAATGAATTCTAGGTTAAATTATTTTAAATTGCCTCATAACCCTCAACTTCTTTCTAATTTAACTTTTTGGGTTGACGTCTAAACCATCCCTCAAGCCTGCTCTCGGAATAAACCTGCTTTCCATGAATACCATAAATAATCAGAGGACACGCCCCTTGTTCACTACCCACATCTTAGCCTCCTGCAGGCGGGCTTCCTTCCCAGCC